AATAAATCTGGAGCAGCAGGTTCTTTGCTGAAAAAATATTCCTTACCTTAAAAGAGCGCTGTGAGATATGAGAAAGATGAAAGCTAGACAAAGGACAACACTTTCTTGAATCATATGTTTATAAAAAGAAAATATTCAGCACTACTGCGTAGTTGCATACTGCCTGGCTGGTAGACGCTCTCATACGGCGTGAGCATGTCTACCAGCCAGGCAGTACGCAACTACATACTGATACTCATATCCAAGTGAAAAATCAGCATAGTAGCACATAGTACAGGCCTAGAGAGTAATCGAAAATACTCACTCACGAGTCACATCATAATATGATAATAGTAAAACGTACTTAATTAGAAAATACTGGACATGTATATGTCCGTTATTTTCTCACTTTGTTTCCCAGATAGAAAGCTCAAACACTGGACTGTTCAGTTCAAAACCGGACACCTGGCAACCCTATTTGGCCCAAGAGACTGAATTTGTTAGTTCAGCCTGGACAAGAAAGAGACAAGTTTTTGTCACTTTCATAAAAAAGCAAAAATACCCCAGTCCTTTCAGCTCCATGCTATGGGTATCTAGAACTACTCTGAGAAAGGAAAAATCATTCCATTCTGTGTGCATTGGGATAAGCAAACCATAGGAAGTTCTGTAACACTAGATCTGAATGAACTTGCTTGTGCAGGTCTCCAGTAGGGAAGAAGACTATTTTCAGTCTTGCAAAAGAGACTGCTTCAATTAGGTTTTTATCAGTTCCTCCCTGACAGGCTTACATTACATCAGTTAAGGAGGAATTCTCCCTTAAATTAGGATTCTGGATGGAGATTTACTCAACTTGAGGAGGCTTGAAGGAGTCTGTGACTCCTTGGAAGGAGCGATGAACAAGGAAAATGCCTCTGTCAAATCAAAGATAAGGAGCCAAGAGGCTATTTTGGATTAGAGGGCTCATAATTTGTTTACCACCCAGATCAGTAAAGCCTTATCTAGAGCAGCCTTAACTTGAATTTTTCATTATTTACGTTCATTATTTCATCAGTATTATATGGGTCAGATTAATTTACTAGAGTATCAAGTGTATTAAAAGCCTTGCAAAATAAACTAAAATGCTTGTATTTCTGAAAAATGTGGAGGTATGCAAATTGCTTATCTACAATGATCCAGTCTTTACTATTCAAATTACCTATGAAACTAAACAGAATGAATAAGCAGTGAACATATTTAAAGAACATCAACAACTTGCATTTTTTTTCTTGAATAAGTTACTGGTGCATCATTTCATGAACTGTCTTTTATGACAGTTCTTTTGATTTTTTTTTTTTTTTTATTTACAAAAAGAAGTGTCCTTTGATATTATTAATGACCATAATTATCAGTGTTGTTGACTCGAGTCCCATGATTTGAACTCGAGTGCAACGTAAGTTGCCTAGGTGACTCGACTTGAGACTCGCCTCGGGTTCATTGTTTGTGACTTGAGACTTGACTTGAGAGTTGCTAATTTTGTTAAATCGACTTGGTGAAAAAATTGTCCAAAAATGCCAATATGGATGGCTTGTACAAAAGTGGCTTGATATTTTTTTAAATTAAGACTTAAGACTTGACTTGGGACTTGACTTGAAAGTGACTTTAGGGACGCGAGACTCGACTTAAGACTTGAACTGTAGTGACTTGAGACTCAACTTGGACTTGACAATGACGACTTGAAGACAACCCTGATAATTATAAGATGTGTTTAATTCAGTTAATTGAATAGCTGAATGGTCATTCAGTGAAAAGGCCTTGTGAATGGATTTCTGAATCAAATTTCATTTTATATTACACATCAAAAACAGCATTCAATCAAGTTATGACTAAGGCATGGAAAAGAATGTAAAACACTCATTCTTTACTTGACTCACTTTGATGTTTCTAGATGTCATTGAGGTTTCATATGTTAATGATATTTTTGCTACTATATGACCTGTCTTGTTTGTTGCACAATAGAGGGATTTAAAAATGGAAAACAGATAATCTGCTCTGCATATTTTTGCCTTACTTGGGTGCAACTAAAGTTATAATGTTTGGTAACATTGCTCCTTCCATCAAAAGGTGCAAAAATTAGACTTATAATGGATATCCCACAATATAATTAATTTGGGTTGTGCTTGGTGTAGAATAGAATTTTAGAAGAACCAGTGTCCCAGCAACAGGAATCTTATAATATAAATAATTATAGACATTTATACACTCTCATGTGTACTCTAGATACAGAATTAGAGATTGCTGACATAGTAATTGCATAATACTATCAGTCTGCGTGTGATTCATACACATAGGGCCAATTTGCAATGTAACAATATTATGGAAATACAAGTGCGCTAGACTGTCCATTGCACTGTAACTCCAACCATAGTAAACTAGATTACAGTAACATTTTATTGACTACAGGGCTTTTATTTCTAAAAACCAGACTTTTTTGTTAAACACATGACTAAAAAAAGGTCCAAATTCACAAGATATTCATTTATTTCCTTTTTCTACTTAAGAAGAGTTGATCTGATGAGTTACAAAATTTGAAATATATTACTGATTTTGCATTTCAATATTCCTTCTACAATTTTTCTGCTTATTTGGGGGGGGGGGGGTTGTGTGCATATATCAATAAAAATATAATATATTTATATATATCTATCATCTTAAGATCTAGGCACAACTCTTCGATAACTTGATATAAAAGGTTTCATCTTTAAAATTTCCATTTGATAGTTTTGGCTAAGCCCTAATAGTGTGTTTTGTTCAGAATCATGTTATTCCCTTGGAATAAATAGAAACACTAAACTTTTTATTAAATTTTCAGTCTTCTTTGAATATCTGTCCCTATGTTTGTAGTGCATTTTACATAACTCATGCGTTCCAAGAATTTTTCCTAGCAATATGTTTTGGTCCACACATGTGCCCCTGCTCTCCTTCTGCCAAGCACTGAGGGCATAAAAGGGGCTTCACTGCCATTATTTCAGTTCCTTCTTAACATGTGGTCTGGGATGGAACCTCCGTGCTCACTGGTACTCTTTGGCCTTTTCCTTGTAAATAGTTAGGAATAGTTAGCTTATAGTTTAGTTACTTTATATTCATTTATTTTTGAGTGTTATGCTCTCATTGAGGCACCCCTTTGGGTAGCTCTCTGGCAGCAAAAACAACATGCAAAACACATCCACACCAGCTTTAAGAGCTGTGTAGACTGCCAGAAGTCCTTCACAGTAAATGATGGTCACAACCCTGTTTGTACCACCTGGGAGAAGCCCGTATTTCCTCTAGGTTCAATATTTATAAGTTATTTCTGCAGAGGACTAGGTAGTTGAGGGAGGTCTACTTTAACAGGTTTCATGTGGGCCTAGCAGTGTGGGAGGAGGGGGCAGTGGCAAGGACTGTGGGCAAGGGGCTGCACTGCAGAGACCCAATTTGGGGGGCAGTCAGGACTGGCAGTCACCCCATGGGAGGCACTCTGGCCCAGGGGTCACCCCATGGGGAGGCACTCCAGCCCCTAAGTCTGGGTTGGATGTCCCTCCGGCAGCTGCCAGAGGGACATCCAGCCCTTGCCCAGGGATGGGGGTGCCTTATGGCATCACTTTAGGGCTGGGGTGCCTCCTAGCCCAGTTCAGGGGCTGCAGTGTCCCCATTCTGACACACACACCCAAAACGGGCCTCCCTCTGCTCCCTCTTCCCCTTCCCCCCTCCCCCCTGCAATTTTCCTTTCCCTTTCACCACCAGAAGCCCACCACCAGTAGCAGCAGATTACTTTCAGTGCTGCTGCTGCTCTGGAGCCATGGGTTGTAAATTACTGTTGGGTTAGCAACAGGAAGGAAGGGAGGAGGTGGGGCAGCTGAGGCGAGAGGGGCTGTGGGATGCAGAGTGATATCATTCTGTCATCCTGCAGGAAACACTTCTTTAAATAATATAGATAGAAATCTCTTTGGCTATGTCTAGACTGCAAGCCTCTTTCGAAAGAGGCTCTTTCGAAAGATTCTTTCGAAAGAGAGCGTCTAGACTGCACGTTGAACTTTCGAAAAAGCGGCTTGCTTTTTTGAAAGAAAGCATCCAGTGAGTCTGGATGCTCTCTTTTGAAGAAGCCCTATTTACATTGAAGAACGCCTTCTTTCGAAAGAGGAACTTTCGAAAGAAGGCGTTCTTCCTCGTGAAATGAGGTTTACCGCCATCGAAAGAAAAGCCGCGTTCTTTCGATTTAATTTCGAAAGAACGCGGCTTGAGTCTGGACGCAGGGGAAGTTTTTTCGGAAAAAGGCTACTTTTCCCGAAAAAAACCCTGAGTCCTGGACACAGCCTTTGGGAGGAAAGAAAGGTCACCGCCCTCCCTTTGGTTCTGGATTTTTATCTTCCAGGCACTGATGGTCAAGTACAACTTCATCTATAACTGGCTCTCATTGATGAGGGGAAGCTTGAGCAGAGAAAATAGGCTAGTCCTTAGTTCGAATTAACGTTTGACTGCCGCATGTAGCCGCGGGCAGTTAGTTCCGACTAGTGGGATTTAAAAAGGGCGACAGGACGGGAACATGCAAATAAAGCCCGGGATATTTAAATCCCAGGCTTTATTTGCAAGTTCGAATGCCTACATTAGCCTCCCTAGTTTGAACTAGGGGGCTAGTGTAGACATACCCTTATTGTTTTCATTTGCCATGCACAGGTTGAACCTCTCTAATCTGCATTCTCTGGTCCACCAACATCTGTGATCTGGCATTTTTTTAGTTAGCGAGATGTCTATTTATCAGGAGTGTGGACAAGTTTTCCACAGTCCCATAAAGTTTGTTTACAGCTAGTCCTGGCTCTCAGTATTCTGTGTTGTTATTTAGTTCTAAGGCACCCCTGAATGTCTTCTAACAGCTCAGTAAGCAGAAGGGATGTGAAAGTGTAACTGTGTACATGGTTAATGATGAGCCTTGTAGTTTTATTTTTATGTACAGAATGAAACTTAAATTTAACCATTAATTTCAACTAATATTAAGTATTATTTTCTAGGTATGTAGGTTAGGAGGAATCAAACATCTGGTTGACCTTTTGGATCACAGAGTCCTTGAAGTTCAGAAGAACGCTTGTGGTGCACTGAGAAACTTAGTTTATGGAAAGTCAACTGATGAAAATAAAATAGCAATGAAGAATGTTGGTGGGATACCTGCCCTTTTGAGATTGTTAAGAAAATCTATTGATGCAGAAATAAGAGAGCTTGTAACAGGTATGTATTGGGAAAGGAAATAGCATCTGATGAAGTAAATTTATCTGTGGCAGTGAAACTAAGCTCTTTGGCTAGAAAATGCATGCTAACATTGCAGGATATCCATTAGAATGTTATTTGTGCATTACTAATTTTGTCAATCTATGAATCTAGATGACTTGATTGTGATAATTGTCACTTAAATCTGAGTTGTTTACACTCAGAGATACCTGGTGAAAAATGTAGAATAACTAAATGTCCAATTTAGAAATAAATTTGGTCCACACATGCCGTCCTCGAGTCCTATGTGAATGTTGTTGTATTAAGCACTGCACTGACCTTGTTACATGTTTAGGATTATACTGACAACTATTTTAAACTTAATCTTGTAGAATTCCAAAAAAGGACCCAGAAGTAAGCATGTATTGTGGTTCGTTGTTTGATGTAGTACTTAGATATTTTGAATTGCTTAGGGTTTTTTTTAGTTGTAGAGCATTTCCTTGCTGATGTTTATTGTAGTCAATATCACAGTAATTTATATTTTATACTTAAAGGTAATCTTATAGAAATATTATAGACATATTTTCTGCGATTAAAAGAAATTTGAAATACACTAAACGGTTGTGTTAAAAATGTATTCAACACATATGACACAACATTAGCAAATATAAAACAGTCAGCAAAATTATGCCAAAAGGTTTTTTTTAATGTTATCTTAGCAATAGCTAAGGTAAATTATTTAATTCTTTTGACTATGAGACATGTACTGTAGCTCCAAGGTCAGCTACAGATGTTCCAACTTTTTCAAACTCCATTTGGAAATATATTCTGGTCATGTATCTGCCAATGCACTTCTAAATATATCATGAGAAATAATAAGCATCGGTTATTTTGGATCAATTAAACAATGAAAATTTAAACTCTTGCATCTAGTTTAAAAACAAATTCAGTTATCTAATATAGAACACATTTGTCTAAATCAGGGGTCTCCAAACTTTTCAGCCCGAGGGCCGCATTAACTATCAAACAGCAGTTCGGGGGCCAACTACACACTTGAGGTCCAAATAAAAAACAATCAAAACATGGATGTTGTTTTTAATTATTTATTTAATATTATTTTATTCAGTTATTTAATAACACATTGATACACTACACATGAACACCTGTATTAGTGTGAATGGTGAAATTGTTTCCTGGATGCCAAAATAGCAGACATTTCTGGCTTTAGATTTGTTGTCCCTAACATCAACAGTGACCTGAGATTATCATCGGACAAGTTTGTTCTCAAATTGTTCTTCACATATTCCATTCTTGAAAATGGGGGTCACCTTTTTAAAGTTCCCGCCGGGGTTCACGTTCCCCCGCACGTCGCCGGGCGGGCGTTACCACCACCGCCCATCCTGCCCCCTGATTGGCCGGCTGCCCTGTCAGTCTGGGCGGGGGAACGCCGCCGTGCTAACCCCCGCCCCCTGCGCCGCCGCACAGCCGCTTGTCAGCAGAGCGGCCCGCTTCTCCTGCCCCGGCGCGGCGTGAGTACACGCCGCACACCCCTGACAGGGCCCCTCCCCCCCCGCGGCAAGAAGGGCCCGTTCGGCGGCGCCCCAGGGACGGTCTCCACGGGCCGGATGAGAGGGCCTCGCGGGCCGCATCCGGCCCGCGGGCCGTAGTTTGGAGACCCCTGGTCTAAATCATCACGCTATTCATAAATATAGAGGTATTTAATTGCCCTAAATCTAGTTGCTTACATGTGTATTTCTATTACTCTGTTTAAACAATCAGATGTCCAGAGTGCATCTGAGGGTAACTGGCCTCCTGCATAACCATACAATTGTTCAAATTACAATGTGAAGTTAAATTTTGTACTGAATATCTCTTGTGTAACATAATGTAGTGTCAAAAGATGTTCTGGGAAATTGTGTGATATGTTACAAAATGTTCCACATGCAGTCTAGTGAAGTGATTCTAAAAATGGCAGGTTCCTACAAATATCCATTTCATTACATGCACTAAATGAAAAGTAAGTGCACCTGGTTGTTTAATAAACCATTGCATGCAAAGGAGTTCCATTTTTACCAACAAAAGTTACTCAATATACATCAATTGACATGATTTATTAGGGAATCTAAAGATAAGTTACATACTGATGTTAAGGAGTTGAAGATGTTATAAGATAATAGAAAAGCCAAAGCCTTTAACTATTTGTTTCAGCTATTTGACAGCTCTTTTGCTTAACATTTTAAGGGATACAATTATTTCCTTAGAAAGAGGAGACAGGTTATTTAATGGTTCTTATACTAAAATGTGTCTAGTTGGTGCACCATGTTATACCAGATATGTGCTAGATACATCTAAATTGCAAAGCTAAAACTGGGTTCAGATTAAAGTAACAGAAGGAATTCAATCTTTTCATTTTGTATGAAGAATATGCTATAATCTTTTACAAAATTACAGTATGTAAGCTGTGAGTAAAAATAGAATTTTCAAATATATTAATGCATTTCTATTTTAAATAATTTCAAGTAGATGCTTTAAGAAAGGTGGCTTTGTATCTCTTAGATTCTTCCAGCTCTTATTAAAAACTATAGGTAGGGTCTTCAAAATTGCTGAATGATGGATTATTTCTGCCCTTTTGGAAGTTGATGGCATTGACTTCAGGTAGAGCAGAGTTATATCAATGCCAAGCACTTTTGAAAAACCCACCATGTAGACTGTTGAAGGTCAGAGATTTTTTTAAAGACATTTTAAGTATCAATATATTAAAAAAAGTAAAGCGTTCAAGGTAAAATATACAATAATTTCAATTATTTGGTTAACAATTACAAAATATGGAAATACAGAGCTACAGATGGCAAATCACATCCTCATCTATATATCAAAGGGTATCTATAGTACGGATTTATGTCACTGGGTAACACTAAATGGGATTTCTCTTAAATTTCAAATAAATCTCAGCATTGTTAATTAGTGCTTCAAAGTATTCATCACATTTCTTATTATACAGTGCCTCTCAGTATAACACTTACCTTCATTCTGTAATGAAGGACTAGTTAGCATTTTATCATATGATTAAGAGTTTTCAGAGTTTTTTTCCATCAAATAAATTCTGTCTATCTCATTAGTAATGTCTGAGCACTAATTATGTTAGTTCCCTTTTTTAAAAAGTATTCTTGTCTCCAATGGTTTACTTACTGTCTTCAACTGCAGCAGATATGTTTAGCATCATGGTTAATGAAATTCCACCTTCCAATGTGATTTCTTATGCTGTGGGATGGGTGTGACCTTTCTTATTATTCCAAATAAACTAAGAATTATGTAGAATGAATGTTTATCTTTGGAATTCTTTTCCTTAACTAGGAGGTATCGGCTTATGATTGAAAAGATTATTGAAAAGGCAGAAAAACATGGAGACAGAACCATATCTAGAACAAAATATAGACTACATTTTTGTTGATATGTAAGGACCCTATGAGATCCAAAGTAGTCTATTATACTACATTAAGTATTATATTAGTGCTAAGAGTTGTTTATGAAAATTGTCTGAGTTAGTTTAAAACATGCATTGCATGGTAATATTCCTAAAATAATAGTAGCAATGTTGATAAATATATCAATTAAGGAAAACTATTGTTTTACTAAAACATATTTGAGGTGACATTTTCTGCAGAATGCTTAAAATTGAGGGACATTGCAAGACAGCATTTAAACATTGTGATCTTACAGACATTATCATTATCATCAGTTCTCTAAGATGCAAACATTCTTTCAAAATTAATTTGTCTCCTTTTTTTTGTTAAACAAGGTAACCTTATAGAAGGTTTGGCACCTTCCTGGTATAGAATCTTGTTCATACAAAGGAATTGCATGTTCATACAAAGGAATTTCACTGTGTTAGCATATTCAGATTTTTGATAGCATTGTTAAGTTTTTGTTTTACTCAGCCTTTTTAAAGGTTTTCATTCGAAGTCTAGAATTTTGCTGTATCAGGATAAGCTTAACTGTTTTGTCCATCTAAGTTCACCTGATTGGTAGGAATCATAGGCATATGGAAAAACAGTAAAAACATAAGAATAAGCATACATACTGCGTGCTCTGTTGATACATATCTGTGATAGGGTGTACAAGCCCATAATGGCCACTTGCTGGAGACTGCCTTAGTCCTACCATACTCTGCTTCAGGAAAGGAGCAGTGAAAGTGAATCATGGGGTTGGAAGAAATGTCAAGAGGTCATCAGTCAAATCCCCTGCTAAAAGTAGAACCAATTAGGGATGTTAGCGACTGGTTGACTATCCGATAAGCAAATGCTTATCAGATAGTCTGGTAGCCACTCAACTAGTCACTTACCCCCTCCCTTGCTGTCTCTATCAGAGAGAGGCAGCAAGGGGAGGGGAGATGGTGCTGGGGGGAACCAACTTTAAGCCAGTTTCCCCCAGCACTGTCTCCACAGGGGTAGGGAAGTCAGAGGCACAGAAGGGGTAACGGTGCGAGTGGGGACTGCTTCAGTTCCCACTTGCACCTCTACCACTGAAGGCACTTCTGCTTTTGAAATGTACAAGAACCCTTTGGGGCTCTTGTACATTTCAAAAGCAGAAGTGCCACAGGGATCACAGAGTGCATGGGGACTCAAGCAGTCCCCCCTTGCCCTGTGCTCTCTCTAGCTCCTCCCCCACTCTTGCTATCAGAGGCAGTGCGGGGTGGGGAATACAGGGAAGCTTCGGCAAAGCAGCCCTTTTTCGCAGTGGCCAGGGCTAGGAGCGGGGGCAAGAGCTGATCAGGCAGCAGCCCCTGTCCATGACCAATCCTGGGTGCCGTGAATGGGCTGGTGCTGGAATAGTCGCTGATCATGGTGACCAGCCCTTGCCGTCATGAACAATGTTGTCCACCAGGGGCTGCTGGACTTAGCATGAGCCGGGACTGAGTAGTCCTAGCTAGCGCTGATTGCTGCACCTCTGCATTTTAAATGTGGCTATATTTAAAATACAGAGCTGCAGTGCAGGTGGCTCCAGAGCCGACATGAGCCAGG